AAATCCTAAACCCTAAACCCTGGCAGCCAAGAATCTTCTTGGAAAATCGTGAACCCAGCGCCACGTCGTGCACACCGAAGTTGATGTGCCCAGGCAGACAGATAAGATCATCGTAGGTGTAGCCGCCTTGGGAATGTGCTTGCACGGCTGAGGTACGAAGGTGGGTATAGTTCAATCCTCAAGGCGTAGGGACAACGACCAGGGATTAGGCTGAGGGTGGTCAGGGCTTTATTGAGCGTGCATGGTGTAGGGCCTGAGACTATAAGACTATATGACTGAGGATATACCAATTCCAATGCTCGAACCCCTCAAGCTTAACCCGCGATGGTCCGCCCCAACACTACCCCAACACTATTCACCCACGATGGTCCGCTCCAAAATCCCTAAACCCTGAACCCTCACCCCTATGATTTAAGCCCGATGTTTAGAACATCTTATAACAGCGCAGCCGCACGAACCCTGTATCAGATTCCCAACATGAAACCCAACGACTACTTTCTGGTAGGTTCGCACTATAAACCCTAAGTGTTTGTGGCGGGCTAGGCGCCTACACAACCCCATCCACAAATTCCACAATGCTCGGCAATTTCTCTGGGACATCAAAATCTCGGTGCCAAGACACTCATGGACGTCTTCGACCCGAAAATATCGGATGCGGAGAACCTCAAACCAGACTCAACTTGAAACGCTTGTAAGTGCCGCCCTCGTATGGCATGGAGGTTCTTAAGCTTGGGGGGCTCAACATCCAGAGTCTGACGCGCAAGGCTATTCCTGATCAGGGCTCATGGAGAAGCTCGTGGAGAAGCAACTTGCATAATTACCCATAGGCCCTAAAGTAGCTCCTTTTGGGCTTCATATATAGAATCCTATAAGGTAACCCCAAAAAGGAACTACTATGGGGCCTATGGGTAGTCTAGGACCACTGAAAACCACGCTCGCTTCAGGAAGTGATTTCAGCCGGAAGATAAACACCACGGGCCGCAAGATCAACATCGAGCAAAGCCTCCACACCCTCCATCCGCCAATGATAAGGCCGAAACGTCCGACATAGAACTATGCAAGAGCTTTCTTCCCGAGCCAACCCGAAGCTACATAAATCCTCAAAGCCGGTGGGCCCAGCTGGATGCTACGAAACTACTCAAAACGAATGGCGACTGGTCTGCGCACAGAGGTTGGGTGCCCTCAAGTAAGTTTGAGGACCACTCTCTTACCCCTTAACCCTATACACCCTAAACTCTCAATCAGGATGTTGGCGGTTTGGGCCCTTTTTAACGTTCGAGAAGCAGCTGCTCTAGATCCCAGATACAAGGGTTTGGGATTTGGGGGGCGTAGGGTTTGGGTTCAGGGTTTAGGGTTTACGGTTTAGGGGTTAGGGTTTTGGTTTAGGTGCTGGGGTTTTGGGTCTAGCTGAGTATCTGAAGCATGGTGCACAGAGTTCTCGAGGCAGATGCAGCAAGGTGGGTGGTACAAAGTGAATAAAATCGTTCTTGAGGGCTCTTGCGTGGGGAGAAGGGGCTACTTTCTGGTCCTTCGTGGCGAGCCAGCCGGGACTTAAACTAGGCGTAGTCGCGGGGATGGATTCTTGGAAAGCGCAGCTGTTCTTCCGAGCTTGGGCACTAGGGTCGAAAAAGGGAAGCACTGCCGAATTCCGCGTGGTATGAACTCCCAAACCCCTGAAACCCTTTTCATGTGAACGCAAACCTGCTATCCACACCTTCAGCCCTCAATCTCTGAATCCTCCGTCTTCAGCCCTGAGCTTCCCCTAAGCCTTAGTTACTAAAGCTTGAACATTAACTCATGAAGCCCTCAATAAGCCTGTAACATAGCACGGAACCCCGAACCTTCAGCCCTAAACTGCATTCCTTAAACCCGAAGCCCTGAGCCACAGCCACTGTAAATGCACGGAACCCATCGGCCAGTTCTGCATCGGTGAGCTTAGACGGGTCGACCTGGCGGAGACAAACATGTACCCTAAACCCTGAACCCCAAGCCCTGAACCCTAAACCCCAAACCCTAAACCCTAAACCCCTAAACCCTAAAACCCTAAACCCTAAACCCAAAACCCTCAGAAGGCAAAGCATTAAGCAGCAGTCGACATCGCCTGGGCTGCGACCAGTGACCCGCCCAAAACACACCATCTTCTATCATCCCGGGAATCTATTTGTGTACAGATGTATGTGTGTATATATATATATATGTATGTAAACATAGAGATACAGATATACAGATAGATAGATAGATAGATAGATAGATAGATAGATAAATAGATAGATAGATAGATAGATAGATAGAGAGATAGAGAGATAGATAGGTAGATAGAAAGATAGATAGATAGATAGATAGATAGATAGATAGATGGAGAGGTAGTGAGATAGATAGAGAGATAGATAGATAGATAGATAGATAGATACACAGCTAGATAGAGAGAAAGAAACAGAGATACACAGATGGAAAGACAGGCAGATAGATGGATAGATAAACAGATCGATGCAAACTCCTAACTTGGGGATCCCGAGGTGACGAAATTGCCTCAGCCGCGCTTGCGCCCGTCTTAGACCCATAAAGCTAGCCCGACAAGATCCCTTAGACCCTAAACCCTAAACCGTAAAGGATCCCTTTACAGGTTTCGGAGTGAGGACCTTGAAGCCACAAACCCTGAAACTTTCAAAGGACCTTACGGTTTAGGGTTTAGGGTTTAGGGTAGGGTTTAGGGTTTAGGGTTTAGGGTTTAGGGTTTAGGGTTTAGGGTTTAGGGTTTAGGGTTTAGGGCCTTATCTTTTCTGACGGAAGGCGCCTTGAGCTCTTTTCGGGGGGATCGGCTTCGGTCCTTGCTGGTTCCGTTCGTGCCGGTCATCTTGACCTGGGCTCGGGGTTTCGAAAAGGGCTCCTCTAAGCGATCTACCAGGGACTCTAGGGTTTAGGGTTTAGGATTTAGAGTTTAGGATTTAGGGTTTAGGGTTTAGGGTTTAAGATTTAGAGTTTAGGATTTAGGGTTTAGGGTTTGTTTAGGGTGTTTTCTATACAAAAAAAAGAGAGATTCGGCTATACGTCCATGGGGGCTACAAGGGCACATGGCCAGGGCAGGGCTTGGAGATGAGGCTTTTTGGAAGCATACTATAGGGGCCTGAATCATTAGAACAGGGTTGCTTGTGGGGGTATAGTATACTAGAATTTAGAATTATAACAAGGAGCCACCAAAATAGTATAGGGAATTATTTAGGCACCTATACTATGGTTGCTGCACTGGCCCCTAACTTGTACAGCAAGGGCACCATTTTGGGACCAAGGGGCGGAGTGAAAGTAGGGTCCGGCGCTTTCGTGTCCCTTGGAGGAATATGCTGCGGCTCCCCAGCTGACGCACCAAGATGTAGCGCCGAGGATTTCTGGCTCGACGAGAGTGTGTACTGTTCTATCACGACAACAACACATTGTATCAATAGCAATAGGCCCCCCACCATAAGCCCTACCCCTTACGAGACCTATCACAATATCACCGTATAAGCCCTGCAAACACTAATTTGCGATGTATAGCCCGATACTTATCTCACAACCAAAGCCCTGAACCACATAAACCCTGGAACGGGAACAATGATTCTATCCAAGAAACTCCGACGTGGGCTTTGGCTACATGAACACTGCAACACACAGTTAAGACCACTACGAACAAGCAAGCCTAACATGACAAGATTAGGACTTTACTAGCAGGTCCTCTGCGCCACTAAATCCTAAATCCTAAACACTAGACGAGCTCTTAGCCATTGAGTTATACTTACAGGTGTGCATGTGTATATATAGGTGTATACACACATATATCAGATACGTATGTACGTGTATGATGTCCAAGACGCACACTCAGCCTCCACCTCAATGACAGGTACTAAAACTGGCATCGCTTTGAGTTTTTCAAGACCAACAAGACCTTCAATCGTATGTATGTATGTATGTATGTATGTATGTATGTATGTATGTATGTATACGTATGTATATGTATATATATGTATATATATATATACACATATATACATATATATATACATATATATATATATATGTATGTGTATATGCAAATATAACTTACATACATACATACATACATACATACATACATACATGCATACACACATACATGCATACATGCATACATGCATGTGTACATACATACATACATACATACATACATACATACATACATCATACATATGTGCAGAACATGACATAGCATGACGTCACATGGCACGACACAAATAACATAGCATAGATACATGGCTGCATAGATATAGATAGACAGTTTTACAGATACATCGCTGCATAGGAACATAGACACATAGATAGATACATGCATGAATGCATACATGCGTACATACATGTATACACACATTCCATTACAATGCCTTAGATTGCACTACATTGCATTACAATTCGTTACAGTACATATTCCTTTAACACATATTATGCTTGATGCAAAACACTTAGACACTGTTTCAAGCCCTAAACCCTAAACCCCAAATCAGAACCGCCCAGAACGAGGAAAACCCGAAGATGCAGGGATCTCGGGGCTTGGCATAACTGGGCGACGGAGTTATCAAACCAGTCCTATGCTAAAGGAAATTGCAGGCGGGGGGTTTAGGGTATATAGGGCTTCTATAAGGCTTCCATGGGGTATATAGACCTTCTATAAGGCTCCTATAACGGTAACTACCCACCTGAAAATGTCCTAGACTATGCTTATCAAATTCTCAGCCCCGTCGCTGAACCCCCCAAAGCATAAAACCTGAGTTACAGCCCCTACAGAATATATATATATATACATATATATATATATATACATATATATATATATGATATATATATATATATAGAGCACTCCTTTCGAACCTGATTCCCTAAAAACCGTAAGCCGGCTGCAAATTTCGGGGCTTTGGGCTTCGGGTTTGGGTGAAGCCTAAACCCTGAAAAACTTCTTGCATGCCATACCCACAAACCCAATACCCTACAGGCCATAACCCTATAAACCGTAAACACTCCTCAAACCCCAAACCCCTGCAATCCCGAAGCCAATCTCAGAACCGTAAACCCTAAACCCTAAACCTCTTTGACATCCCCAAAGTCTCTGGCGATCGGCGGTC